CTTACTACGACTATTTAAATTTAAACTAAATAAATAAAATAAAAAACTCAGACACCCAGTGACACTAGCCACATTTGAGGCACTCAACAGCCACATGCATCTCGTGGCTCCCATGTTGGACAAATGCAGATGGAGAGCATTTCTGACACGGCAGTAAGTCTCACTGGAGAACATCGTTCTAGAAAGACATCACTTCTGGTTCAAAGGAATCATGAATAATGCTTGAAAGAAGCTGACTCCAGTTACTTCCAACTTCATATATTGAAAGATCTCTATCGTTTCTTTTCACTGACAGTTTGGATGATGGTCCTTAACCTGTGCTCAGCCCACTTTGTTGAGAGTTCATAGTATCACTTCTCTTTTTGCATTTAAGTCCATTTCCTACAGGTGGAAAATCCCTGGGCAGAGAGAGCACTCTAGGGGCTAACGGTTCTTCCTTGCTCCTTAGCAGTGCAGTAGAATGAAAATAACAGTAATGCTGGCTCCTCCTGCTTCCCTGGGCTGCCTGCAGACCACAAGAGAGCACTGGAAACTTCCATGTGTCACTCAAGTATCAAGTAATGCTATTCACTCTATTCACAATCATTCATATTAAAGTGCTCCCAAGAAGCCTTGTCATTTCAATGGCGTTGCCTCACTTGGGTCACAAGAATGAGAAGAGACAGTCACAGTACATTCAGCATCTTTATTTGGGTTTTCCAATTATTTTATGAACGCCATTTCTGCAGTTCTGAGCTGCATGCCCTAAACCTTCAGTCTGTCGGTGAAAGAATGTTAAAGCAAAATGTAATTGAAATTTTAAAAGAAAATAGATAGAAACACATGGTTTAGAGCTCTTCCACATCCTATTATTTATCTACTTTTCAGTGTAAACCAAATCGCATTTCACAGAACGTTTCTTCAGGTGGCTTACCGTGGGACATAAAGTATGACAAGAGAGCATAAATTAGAAGTGAGGTAACAGGAGACAGGAGGAAGAGAACACACTGGAGCCAGTCATCTGCTAAAACTGCATTTCTCTACATCTGCTGCTTCCTGGTGGGTCACAGGCAGAGCCCGCAGCACCGTGGTCACCAACAGAATAAGGGAAACTTGTCAGAAACGCAGTTCACAGTATCCTCAAGATAAGCATGCACCAATTGCTCGGGAAAATTCTAACTATTGTTCACACACAAGCCAGACAAGAATTGCTCCCAGGAGTCCTCATAAAGAAAACAGCATGTGATGTAGGGATCAGCGTTCACCACCAGTCTTATTGAGGGCACGCGAGTGAGTTGTGCAGGCTTGCTTCCGTGATGATGCCCTGTGTAAAAGCGATTTGGGGAGGAGGTTGACGAGAGCGGAGGTGGGGTGGGCGGTGTGACTTCACAGAGGTCCCCAGCTCTCTGCTAATCCATCTCCATCCTCGGATACCTTAAATGTACCTGGAGAGTGAACAGATTCAATACTGTTTCTTCAAGGAAACCACCAGAAATGTCTCCCTCATCTATATTTCAGGAGATATGAGGAAGTAGACGGTTTATACTATGCTCTCTGGCAAAATGCCTGCCTGGCCAGTGAAGTCCAGGCTTATATTCAACAGTGTAGTTGGAAGTAGGTTAACATCTTTCTACAAAATGTGAGACGCCTGTCGTGATACCCGCCACCCAAAAGACAGTTGCAGCCCTGATGTGAGACGGGCTAAAGCAGTGGAGGATTTCTTGTGAAATATTGCTTTGAATTTATTCCAGTGCCTAGAGGACCAGCCTACAGACTCTCCAAGTTCTGTTCCATGTAACAGGGCTGTGGTGACCCAGCCTGAAAATCTCCAAGGTGAGTGACACAGACACCTTGTGGCCAAGAGTCCAGAAGACACCGCCAGCACGTGTGCCTTTCAGCAGTGCTGTTTCTTCCTGTAGCTTCCAAGATGAGCTGAGGCATCACTGAGTCACCAAAAGTGGAAACTTTTTTATCCACCAGTTTTACATCAGGGAAGTAAAGGCAGTGGCTTTGCTTTCAGAGTAGTACATCAGTGGCCCTTCTTTCTGGCAGTGGTTAGGGCACAGTTGTGGACTCGAGTCGGGCACAAATCCCTGTTGCCCGTGTTGTAGAGAATGCTTGGCTTCCTTTCTGTGGAGCAGGGTCTGCAGCCTGCTCATCCTCAAGTGCTTTCAGATCATAAACGAACAAGTTAAAAAGGAAGACTAGCCTGTACCCCTGTTTTATACCATCCTGAAAACTTAGCATGTTCTTTAGAGGACCCTGTGTGCTGGTGGCAGCTTCCATGGAATTAAACAGTGCAAGTTTCGCACGAAAATCAACAGACAGCACCTGCAGAAACGCGTATACCTGAGCGTGGAACAATTCTAGTCCTTTGGGGCAAAGGCAGAAAAAAGGCCAATAGGAGTTATAGACAAGCTCACCCCCGTTCTGGGGTGACCTCTCCTGCAGGTGGAGCGTGTAACGCCACGAGTGATCTGCGGCCGAAGGGCCTCACCCGCAGCCTGCTGATGTGATGCTTTGGTCTCAGGAATCCAAACTTGTCATTTTTCAAGCACATTTTCAAACGAGGAGGCGATGTGCGTTCTGAGTGGAATGTCTAGTAAGCAAAGCAGCCTACAGTTTGGGGAGCCCTTTTACAAAAAGGGAAAAAGAGCACCACTCAGGGTACAGTGAGGTGGAACAGTGGAGACAGAATTATCCGTGCAGCACGGTGAGGACGGGCGTGAGCACGTCTTTGGAAGGTGATTCGACGGGAGCTCTCCCATCCATCTAAGTGCACATGATCTTCCAACAAGTAATCTTACCTTTGGAAATTTACCTAAGAAAATAACTGGAGACGGGGCAAAATTTATATGCAAGTGTGTTCAACAGGATGAAATAGTGAAAACAGCCTAAATGTCCGGGGAGGGGGCTGATTAAGGAAGTGCTGGGACAGAGCCATTAAATATCAGCTGATGGAAGTGCATTTAACGCTGTATTTACAACGTGTATTTAAGTGAAAAGAGCAAATTATTTAAAAAAAAGTCCAATATATTAATTTTTATCAAAAACAATTGTATATTTATACACACAAATATATACATACCTGTGTAAATAATACACTTGTGACACTGTAAAACACGTATCAAGACACTTAATAATTGATTGTGATGGTAGATTATGTGTGCTTTTTATTTTCATCCTTAATCTTTTCTGTTTCATCTAAATACTCTAAAGTGAATATAGGCAACAAATATAAACAGAAAAAAATAGTATTAAAAAGGAGAAAGATGGCCACTGTTTCCTAGGTTTGGAGTCGTCTGAGGACGGTAGGAGCCTTGGAAAGGCATGGCAGAATCAGGGGCAGCCACTCCCACAGGAGCAGTCACATTGGTCCCGCTGAGGATGAGGGCAAAATTACCCTCGGGCTCTCTCACACCCTAGTCACCACCGTTGGATACTGTGCACCAAGGAGGAGTTTAGAAATGTTTTGTGCGCCACCTGGTCTTTATGGAAGACCATGGTCCACGGGATCCACACTTGCACGTCTCGGGGGCTCCAGGGTAGGCCCTGTCAGCCCCAGTGCACGGCTGGTTTCCAGGCCTCCTTACAAAAGATTTTGCTCCATTGGGAGTTTGTACAACAAATAACATTTGAAGAGTCAGAAATGAGGTCATGTGTCCAAAGCCTCTGCACGGATCTCAGGAGGGGCAGCATATGTGTTTAGACAAATCACGGGCATTGGACAGAGAGCAGACCCTGCTGATCTGGCAGGAAGAGGCTCCTGCCCTGTGAAGCCATCAGCTCGACAGCAGCCACACCAGGGCTGATAAGATGAGCAGATTCTTATGGTAAACCTGTCCTTCCGCTCCCCGGAGGGCCACCGCCGGCTCCCAGGGCTGGGATTGTTCTGGAACCAGCCCCTCCTTCTGCCTGTATCTGTACCAGCTGTCCCCTCCTGCATGAGACTTCTGCTGAAAACCCAGCGGTTGCTCCACAGCTACCCAGCGAGGACAAATTAGCAGTGACACTCATAACAGCTGACGTTTATTGAGTGTTACACACATGATGCATTTAATTCTCATAACCAGCCTTTCAGATAGATGCTGTCTGTAGCCCCACTTCGCAGATGAGGATTCTGAGCGTTCGAGGGGTAAATGAGGCCCACAGGTCAGAATCACAGGTTGTGAACGGTGGAGGCAGGATCTGAACGTAGGTCTGTGTCATCTTCTTAAGTCCTGGGCTCTTCCTTCCATGTTAGCCTCATGGTCCTCCCAGCTTGTGTCGTTCCCCCCAGCCTGTCCTCCCATACAGATGACTTCCTATGAAAAAACAAACTTATTTATCACATAGTTAACATGCTCCTAATTTTCACTGTGCTATCTACTGAAAGAGATTTGAGCATCTCAAATCTGTAAACAAAATATCAGTACCTTTGGAATGTTTTTGAAAGTTTTCCCCTCTGGTTGCCTTCTTACTTATCCTCTTCTTGGCCACATTTCTTAAATGTGATGTCTACACGTGCAGTGTGGCTTTCTTGAACTTCCAGCTCTTCCCAGAAGTGGCCCTTGTGACGGTCACCAGTACCTTCCTTGTTGCTAAAGACAAAGATGCTGCGTGTTGTTATTTATTATTATTATTC